TATTATACTTAAAATGGGCTTTTTCATCCGCCATCTACAACAATATAAGAACAATAATTCTCTGTCATTGTCTATTGTATTTATTTTTTAAAAATTGTACTTTGAGCCTTTTGACTGTTGGATTTTTTTAATTTTCAACACATATTTTATCTAATCTGTAGGGATGGACTTTGTATGATATTTTTATTATTGCAAAAACGAATATTTGCGAGTTATTATTGGCAACATATTGTCACTGAACTTCATTCTCAAGCTAAATTCGCTAGTCAAGGTGGTATTTTATTCAATGAAATGTTACGTAAACGAAGAGAAGAAGACGATAAACGTGAAGAACAAACTGTAACAAAAAGAATTCAAAATTTAAAACATATTAAAGAATAACAATTAAAATTAAATCAATCGGATAGCAAAGCTGCTTCAAAACTTGCTGAACCATCTGAACATTTCGAAGGTTTGTTTAAAAGGAAAAGCAAAAGAGAAGTTTTATATTATTATTATAGCAATTCGATCGGGCGATTATTATATGTTTAATTATGAATCAAACGAAGGAGAAGATGAAGGAAAACAAGATAAAGCTATTGATATTCTAGAATAGGTTTATTAATCCAGAAAAAATAAAAATATATACAAGTGCTCTTTTAGATTTTTCGAGTTTTAGCAGCACGTGACAAAGATGCAGCGGTTGCTGTTGCTATTCAAAGTAAGTTTTTCTTGGCAAAGAGAAAAACTCAGCATTGATATTCAATTCATTCACTGGTAAACATCTGCATTTGTTTTATTTACTTACAGAACATTCGATATCACCTGTTATTGAATCAAATAGTCAAAAATTCACTGCAGCACCATCAATTTCTTCTCCTTCTCTTCCAGCAACAACAACAACAACAATGCCACTTTTACCAGTTCCAAAAGAAATAACATCTGTCGAACCAAAATGTAGATTATTATGTTTTTGAATTCATGGCAGAATTTTGAATGATTTCATTTTTTTATTTGAAATAGAATCCAAAAAGAAAGAAAAATTAATTTCCATTAAAATGCACTTAATTGGTGAAATTATTATTAATTATTTTATTGATTTATTTAATCAATATTCACGCGATTATCGGGAAGTTTCAAGAAAATTAGCTAAAATGGAATTTGAACATAAAGTTATTCAACAAGAATATATTCGACTAAAAACAAGTGATGATAAAATAAATTAATCTTTCTCAAAATTATTATTCAATATCTTCAATCTTATTTTTCCTAGGCTTCTGTTATCGATATGGATAAAATGGCTGATAGTAATCATCCAGATAGGCAAATTTTCTTCCGAATTTTCTTCTTTATCTCTTTCTTTAATCATTCAGACATATTCATCTTCGAAAACCACCTCAACCAATTGATACAAGGGTGTGGGCGCGGGTGTGGGTGTGGGTGTGGGTGTGGGTGCGGATGTGGACGCGGGTGTGGGTGTGGATGCGGGTGCGGGTGTGGGTGTGGGTGCGGGTGTGGGTGTGGGTGTGGATGCGGGTGTGGGTGTGGGTGCGGGTGTGGGTGCGGGTGTGGGTGTGGGTGTGGGTGTGGATGCGGGTGTCGGTGCGGGTGCGGGTGTGGGTGTGCATGCGAGCCTTCTCTGCATTCACACCTGCACACATCCACACCCCACACTCACACACCCACACCCACACCAACACCCACCCACACACCAGACCCACACTCACACGCTTTCCGTCACGGATGAGTATATTTATTAACGAGTTCATTCTTCTTCGATGTGGTAAAAAAAGAAGAAGATGAGTCACGGTACCAAATTGTTAGCTCGCTTCGACGAGCCTACGTTTGTTTATTTTAAAAAAATGTATATCGATATATCAAAATGTCCTTAACCACACGTACATATATATCACACAACATAAAGAGAAGAGAAGAGAAGAGAAAAGAAGAGAAAGAGAGACAACAATAACAACAATGGAAGATAAAAGGAGAGAGATGGAAAAACATCAAGGGGCAGGAATGAGGGTGAAGCACCGCTAACACCACTAGATGAAGATGTCTTGCAATTTGGTTTTGCTTTCAAGTTTTCCGTCATTGAAGTCGATGATGACGGAATGGTAGCATTTGGTGACATGCGGCTATTCTCTCTTGTTTGACCGTCAACGTCATCCACCTCCATTTCATGTTTCGATTCGTTCGGCATCGTTGAACACCTACCACTTTCAGACAGCTAAAATAAATGTAGATCAGACTGTTAAAAAGATTGATGTTTTCTTGTTTGTTTTAGATGTTTTTTATATTGGACAGTTCTTTTCACATCGTATGCAAAGGGAGATATTGAGGTAGACGAAAAAAATGTAACAAATAACGGGTGTTCCAAAAAGAATGACCACTCATTGTATCACCATTTCCCTGATCATCTTTTGCTTTGGCGACCTCTTTTCTTTGCTTTTTTCATTTGTTTTCTGTCTCTATGAAATGGCGGGTTTACTTTTCAAAAGAAATTACAAAATAAAATTTTTCAAGATGAAAAGTGAAGATCTCTAGGAACTAGTACTTTCCAAATATCAAAAAGGTGAACCTCCAGTCAAAATCTTTGAAGACTTGAACGGGGCTGTAGGTTCTCGAACTATTCGGCGGTGGTGTGCAATGGCGAGACGGGCAGGTTCTATCAACTTATCGCCCTTACCGGGTCGTCCACGCATTATCAGAACCAAAGGGATGATCCAAAGGGTGAAAAATCGAATGAAACGTAAAAAAGTGTCAATTAGAAAACTTGCCGGTGAGCTGAATATCTTCGAAGGATCTGTTGTTAGAAACTTGAAACAAAATCTAGGATACCGTTCATACAAAAAAAAGAGCTGAACCAGCTCTTACAGATCTCAAAAAAGAGTAAAAGAATGACATTTGCAAATTGGGTGCGGCATAACTTCTGTAAAGAAGACACCTTGAGAATTCTCTTCTCAGATGAGAAAATGTTCGACCTCGACGGCATCTACAATGCTCAAAACGATCGAATATGGGCAGTAAATCATGAAGAGGCTGACTAAAAAGGTGGTGTCAAACAGAAATGAAAGTTTCCGCTGAAAGCAATGGTTTGGTTATGTGCATGCTCCAAGGAATTGACACCATTAATTATTCTGGATCAGAGAATGATGCATCATGAACGATACATCAATCAAGTGTTGCCGGTGGCTTTAAAATATGGAAACGAACCTTTTGGTGACAATTGGCCCTTTCAACAGGATGGTGCCAAGCCTCATACACATACTGCAACTCAAGAATGCTGCCAGAAAAATTTCCAATCATTCATCGACAAGAATCATTGGCACCCAAACTCACCCGATCTCAATCCTCTAGACTCCTCAATTTCGAATGAGTTTGGTTAACAAATCAACTGGCAAAAGTCAAATAAAAAACAAACTCTGATCGATGAATTAAAACGAGGTGTCCATCAAATAAGAGAATTCGTTCCCTTGGAAAGTTGCAAAAGTTGGACCAACCGCTTGTATCGTTTGCCCAATAACAACGGAGATTATTTGCAATAAATCTTTGATAGGGTTTTGTAGAGCTTAGAAAGACGAATCTTTCGAAAAAAATTAAGTCTCTGGGGTAAAAGATAAGCGAGTTAGAGAAAAAAAATAAACAGTGGCCATCCTTTTTGGAACACTCGTTAGCAGTTGGCAGCTGAATCTTCTCCAATAACTTCTTCAATGAGACATAAAGTAGCTGAACGAAACATGATAAATATAGCGATAAAGCATTTTATACATGAAGCATCAAGAAGATACGACAGGTAGCTGAAAGAATAGAAAGAGAATCTGTATATTCTGCATGTATTTTTGTCATCATTTGCTCAACGACACCATTTGATTGATGGTGTCTAAACCCTATATTCTCTTCTCAATAGTGGATCGAAAACACTAGACAAGAATATCGTTGTCCACCTTAATGCCCCTTAACATTTACCAGCAGAAAATGACGTCCACCCCCATGAGATTGATAAAATATAAAATGACTATATAGGGCTCCGACACATGTCTTTTAAACTGAATACATGAAAATAAGTAGCTCATAATCCGACGGGCATATTGGTACTATTTAAATGTCCAAACTGTGTGCTAGCATCCAATCACCATCATTATCAAGCGAATCTAATTCATCACTCACTTTGGACTAAATCTGTTAATTCTAGACTTTTCTTCTGAAATGTGCAAACATGTATCAGGGTTTTTTAATAGTCTCAAACCCACTATTAGGTTACTACTAGCATTCAAAATCCATTAGCCTCACTTTCCAATGCCAGCGATCCTCACAAGTTCACTAATTCATTCTAATCTAGGTGAGCGTAAGCCATTTGAAGTGCATATAGCTAAGACACTCACGAATATAAATCAGGCCATACCTTCTCCAGCTTTAGTCTTTGCTGGTCTAAAGCACTGACCAACTGCTGATATAAATCCTCATGAGGCGCTGCAATTCTCACAGGTTCATCATTCCCATATAGCATAATCGTATTTTCTGGAACAGTGACCGCACCTCCTTGCAACAGCATCGTATGCATCAGAATCGGCACCCATCCAGGGCATTTCGTATCGAAAAATCGATCAACCCAGTGCCGCGCAGAAAAACCTTCCAGCCGAATATACCTGGTGCCCTTAATTATTGACTCCAGCTTTCGTAACTCCACCACATCCAGATCTTTCAAATCATCTGAGCGACGAAGTATATTTTCCACGATCCAACATACTTCCGGTTGGTCTAAGACACATTGACTTCGTGCCATTGCATTCATCAACCCAGCGATCACTTCTGTAGTTGTTGCTTTTTCACTCAACTGTTTGAGGGCTCTGGACGCACTGGATCTGACTTTCGAATATTCATTCACGCTCATCTGCACCAGTTGATCGATCACTTCTTTAGTCGCTGCGTTTTTACCCAACTGTCCGAGGACTTCGCACGCACTGAAGCGGACATCCCAATCTTGATTCCCCATCATCTGCACCAGTCGATCAATCACTTCTTTAGTTGCTGCTTTTTCACCAAACTGCCCTAGGGCTCGGCACGCACTGGATCGGACATTCAGATGTTGATTCTCCATCATCTGCACCAGTCGATCGATCACTTCTTTAGTTGCTGCTTTTTCACCCAACTGTCCGAGGGCTCTGCACGCACTGGATCGGACATCCGGATCTTGATTCTCCATCATCTGCACCAGTCGATAGATCACTTCTCTAGTTGGTACTTTTTCACCCAACTGCTCGAAAGCTTCGCACGCACTGAATTGGACATTCGGATCTTGATTTTCCAACATCTGCATCAGTCGATCGATCACTTCTTTAGTTGCTGCTTTTACACCCAACTGCCTGAGAGCTCTGCACGCACTGGATTGGACATTTGTATCTTGATTCTCCATCATCTGCATCAGTCGATCGATCACTTCTTTATTTGCTGCTTTTTCACCCA